GCACAGAATGTAAAGAAATGTAAAGAAAATTCTTGAAAAGAGAATTTTGAGTACTTTCATTACTATTCTCTAGAACAATTGTTAAATTATTATAAACATCTGAATAACTTTTATCCGCCAAATCTAAGTCTATCACAGAGATGCTCCCGGTAGACCCGTATGACAGTGTGTCAAGGTCAATAAGTCTCTTAAAATATAAGATCATGTAAATGTTTAGCCCAAAGCAATGTTAGTTCAGTATGTAAATGTGGTACAATAGTACAACACCCCCCAAAAATTACTCTGTCACCCCACTTCCATCTTTAATCATTGTGTGTGACAGACATCTGACAAAAGGTGGCGAGACTTGCCCAAAAACAGGTGGTAGCTATGACAAAAACACATACCTATAAGTATGCGATTGCACATTTAAATTGTGTTGGCCAAGCATTCGTAACTGCGTTTACATGCCTAACCCCAAATATGAGCAGCTGTAGTAGTAGTAGTAATTGCCTTAACATCACTATTTAAAAAACTGCTGACACTAGTATTCTAAGTCTCAGATAACATTTAAACAAGCCAAAAGAAACATGTTAACTAAAGAAGTCTTGATGGCATAACATCTCAAACATACTTGCTGTCAAAGCAAAAAAAAAATGTAAATCACAGGCTTAACGATACGTGTGGTCAGTAAAGGGAAAGAGAAGAAAAAAAAACAACAATAATCATATGCAGCGCAGCACATGGCAACTCCACATTCAGCGGTCAGGCTGCCCAGTGTCTCAGTCACAGCGTGAGCATTAAATGAGCACCACGCGGCTGTCTCATAATCACTCCTCCATTATATAATGCTGCACGATCTTGCCTTCTCTACACACCCAAAACACTCTGAGGGACTGAGCAAAGCTGTCACTCTCAATAGCTGTAATCTCGCCCTCTTTCGTTTCCCTCAGGGCCAATAGTCTTTACGCGCTGCTGCTTTGTTGCCAAACCAACGTGTGAGTTTTTGATCCAGGGTGGAGTGCTGTTATGATGGGTTTATAATGTTTTGATTGAACTTTATGAGCATGTTTACAGATGCTCTTTATTGTGGGGAAAGCCACAGTTCAAAAAAGAAAAGAGGAGGAACAGGACAGGTGAATGTGAAGGTGGATTGAACTGCTTTGACTGATGAAAATATCTCACAAACAGGAATAACGGTTAGACAAGCCCAGTAACTGGCCCTCATGTTTACAAACCATCATTTTGATTTTAGGGATGCAAAAACATAAGCATTGGGTTGCCAGAACAGCGAGTCGCTAATCATGGTTTTCTCAAGTACTTCTGGGAAGTTTGTATTTATGAGTTGGGAAGTGGTAATTACGACGTCAGGTCTGTTCAGATCACTTTGGTTGAAGCAAGATGACAATGTAGCTAATCTACACTGTAAAAAAATTCCGTAAAATTTACGGTAAAAAACGGCAGCTGTGGTTGCCAGAATTTGACAGTAAAAAATACGGTAGCAACGTTTTACGGTTTTACGGTTTTAACTTAAATTTACAGTTAAATACCGTAATTTCATTAAATGATATAATGTTAATATACCAACCTATTGAAGTACTGAAATCTGTTTTGTACCTTTGTAATACACTGATAACCACCAAATGCAGGAGGTGATGAGAAAGTCACACGATGAACCAAAGCCCATCACAAGCAGCTTTTAAACATGAACATATATAGAAGGTGCACAGTGTCATTCACACAAACACTAAACACCATCATGGTAGCACACATGAAACTGAAATAATGCAATAAACATTCATTTAACAACATTAGGTGTAACACACAACCCTAATATACAAAACTGATCAGAAAAAACTAAGAAGAAACAGTTATTTCAACAAAAAAAACATCAAATTTGAAATGTAACGCAGGGAATTCTGGGAATGTCAATTTACGGTTATTCACTGTAAATTATACAGTCTTTTTCACTTCCAAAAATTGTATATTACTGTAAATGTAATGTCCAATACAGTTTTTCACCGTATATAGTAGGGGAATTTACCGTTAACCATTTAACAGGTTTTTACTGTAGCATTTTTACAGTCTTTTACCGTTAAATTCACGGTCATTTTTTACAGTGTACAAAAACAACTCTACTTTTTTAACTCTACTTCTACAAAACGATTGATAAAAAAATGCACATTAGGTGTGTTTTTGCTTTATGTTTTTACTCAATTTCGGAACGGAACCATTATTTCTAGTGTGATTGCACAATTGTATTTTGTACATGCAACTTGTAAATGAAAAAAACATTACATTTCAACAAATTGACCGTAAATACAGAAGCTGCATCCATTGTGTGTGATATTGTCTCAATATTTTCATCATTACAACTTTGTGGGGGCGTTCATGTGCATTTAACTGGTAAATACGATCTTTCCGACATGACTTGAATACATTATCAGTCTTTATGAAACTTAATAATTAGGCTGGTTTATGATAAACCTGATCCCTATAAGATGCGGTTCTTAGAGGACGTTTACATGAAACGTGTTCAATAAAAACACCTCCACTGAGCTCAATAAATAGACGTTTTTCAAAGTTGCACAGTGGCTAAATTGACACATTAAAAACTGGCGGGAAACTGAAAAAATGCAGGTGCCAAAAATGTCCATCTGAATGTGTATGGCTGTAGTTGTACTGCTTTAGAAGAAATCAATTTAAAGACACAACATCTCTGAGAGGACAGAACTTCTCCTAAATCAAAAGAATGCTGTCAGCATTAAAGCACCAAGGGTAAAAAAAAAAAAAAAAGTAAATGAAAATTTTACATTTTGAAAAATATTGCTTTGTTCAGTTCTTTCTGTTATAAGAAAAAAAGTTAGTAAACCTGTTATATGACAACACTTTTTTTTTTTTTTGCAACTTTTTTCCCAATATTATGATAATACCGTATACCGTGATAAAAGCCTCAGCAATTATCACAACATTAAAAATGTAATCGGTCACATGCCTAATCTCGGGACAGTCTTTAGTGTAGGGTTTTGAACTGTGTGCGTTCTTGCCATCAGTTAATTAATGTTGACATGATGTTATTTTCTTGCAGCTTCAGAGTGATCAGTCTCATGGCTTTTATGGCTCAGGTTACTTGCACTCTTAAAAATAATTGCAACTGCTGCAAAACCCCTATTTAGCACCTTTATTTTTAAGAGTGTGAGATAAAAAGCAAAATCAGGACCTGAGCAAACATGACGGGGTGAGGGTTGCATACTTCTGGGGCTGCGTTTGACAGTGAGTAACTTCCATTGAGATAGATGGAGATGCTAATAGATGGCTTTCTGCAAGTATTACAGACCTCCTTGTGCTGAACAGACATCTCTGAACACCTTCAGTCCGAGTAACCTGAGGTTGATCAAGGACGCAATGGTGATTTGTGACCCTGGAGCACAAAAGCAGTCTTAAGTCGCTGGGGTATATTTGTAGCAATAGCCAAAAATACATTGTATGGGTCAAAATGATTGATTTTTCTTTTATGCCAAAAATCATTAGGATATTAAGTAAAGATCATGTTCCATCAAGATATTTTGTAAATTTCCTTCCGTAAATATATCAAAACTTAATTTTTGATTAGTAATATGCATTGCTAAGAACTTAATTTGGATAACTTTAAAGACAATTTTCTCAATATTTAGATTTTTTTGCACCCTCAGATTCCAGATTTTCAAATAGTTGTATCTCTGCCAAATATTGTCCGATCCTAACAAACCATACATCAATGAAAAGCTTATTTATTCAGCTTTATGACTGGTTTTGTGGTCCGTCTAGGGTCACATTTATCAACTCTTGGGAGGTTTACAACTATATCTTTAGGTTACAAGTCTAGATGTTTACTACACAACCCCTTCAGTCCAGACAGAAAGAGTCTAAGCACAGACATCACATGGGTGCCAAAATAAGCAAACAATGATAAATCATATGTATGCACACCATACAACAATAAACCAAACAATAACTGCTGCTAGTTGAAGTTCAAGCACATCCAACAGCACACTATAAACTCTTCAGTTTGTATAGTTGATATACATTTGGCAGATTTTTATTCAATCTTCAGAGATCCTTACAAACAAAATCACCATGGGAACCACAGAGGCCAAAATATCCGAGTTTTAGTTACTACAGCTGAACTGAGGTCAGTTATAAATAAATAAATACATAAATAAACAGAAAACTTAATTATACTACTTTACAATATAAACAATAAGCATTGTATTTTCGCAGAAACTCTAGTAATTTTGCTTGAGAAAACTAGAAAATGCAACCATAAGTTGGTGAAGTGTCACATCTATCAAACATTAGCGCGATAACTACCGTTTTAAACACTTCTAACAAAAAATACAATTAGTTTTCACAATATTGTAAGACTTGAATCCTATTGTAAGACTTCTCCACTAATTGTGATGAACACACTTACCATTCAATTAGAGTGAAGTATTTATTTTCGATGCAGGCTGGAGCCGTAACAGCGGGTCCAGGTTCAGTCGCTCGTTCGCTCCAGACACAACAACAGCGAGCTCGGCCCCTTCAGTCAACTCTTAAACGCACTTCGCTGTAAGTGTGAACTCTCTTGGCCGCTTCTACTCGCGCTCGAGTCTTTAATAAGTTATTTTCTCGGCAGTCCGTGTCGATAAACTCCAGACTGAGCGTCGGCTGCGATTTGCATGAGCGTGTTTTGAGAGCTCCGGTAGTGAGAGAGTGGAGCGGCAGAGCAGCTCCGGTGCGGGTCGGCCCTCCCAGTGGGAGGGAGCAGCTCTGGCCCCGCTCCGCAGCAGCTGTGCCGCTCTCTCTGCCGCCCTCTGGGACCCATCCGCTGCTCTGCCGCCAGCCGCCACTCACCGGAGCTCCTTCAGCCTCATCTGATCTGATACAGGCTATTGGTGAAGTACAGTATATCATGATTTAAAATAATAATAATAATAATAATTATTATTATTATTATTAGATTATGAAAAGAGTGTTTGATAACAATGAATGGTGAATTTGGTAAATTAAATTATATTAATTATATACAAAAATGGCACAATATGTGTCTATAGCATAAATTTGCAAGATATTAATCCATATTAATTATATATATATATATATATATATATTATATTATTTATGTGTACCTGGTATTTATCACGTTATGGAGACCAAATGTCCCCACAAGGATAGTAATACTAGTAAATTTTGACCTTGTGGGGACATTTTTGAGGTCCCCATGAGGAAACAAGCTTATAAATCATACAGAATGAGTTTTTTTGAGAAAGTAAAAATGCACAAAGTTTCCTGTAAGGGGTAGGTTTAGGGGTAGGGTTGGTGTAGGGCAATAGCACATACAGTTTGTACAGTATAAAAACCATTACGCCTATGGAATGTCCCCATAAAACATGGAAACACAACATTTTCAACGTGTGTTTGTGTGTGTGTGTGTGTGTGTATAAATGATATAATATGTGACCCTGGAGCACAAAAGCAGTCTTAAGTTGCTGGGGTATATTTGTAGCAATAGCCAACAATACATTGTATGGGTCAAAATTATCGATTTTTCTTTTATGCCAAAAATCATTAGGATATTAAGTAAAGATCATGTTCCATGAAGATATTTTGCAAATTTCCTTCCGTAAATATATCAAAACTTAATTTTTGATTAGTAATATGCATCGCTAAGGTCTACATTTGGACAACTTTAAAGGCCTTTAAATTGATATTTAGATTTTTTTGCACCCTCAGATTCCAGATTTTCAAATAGTTGTATCTCGACCAAATATTGTCCGATCCTAACAAACCATACATCAATGGAAAGCTTATTTATTCAGCTTTCAGATGATTTATAAATCTCAATTTCGAAATATTGACACTTAAGACATATGATAAATGGACAAAAGTTTATCAAAGAATATATATAAAAAATATTTATTACAGCAATGAGATAATTTAAACAACCAACATAGGTAATGAATGCATGAGACACACAAATAAGGCAAACATTGACATGATACATTAATAATGGCATAAAAAGTGCTGCAATTGTTACATTAAAGAGCTATTCTACCTGTTTTAACATAAAAAATATATTTTGTTGGTATAAATTAATGTATTTAGGTTGATTCTGTGATGTTAAATAATATTAATTTAGGTGTTCATTTAAATGTTCCCATTTTTTGGTTCCTTTTTTGTTTGTAATTTTTGTAATTTTTGTACAGAACAATAAAATTAATGTGGAGCGCATTAGATCATTTGGATTTGGGAGAATTTGCTGAATAATGTTTGAGTTCACATCAGCATACATATGTTTACATCCACCAATTTTTTTTTTTTTTTTGTGAATTTTGGAATATTGCATATAAAACACTGGATGGAAATGCCAAGATGTGCATAAATTCAAATAATGTTCATAAAAAAAACTTATACGCTCAATTAGATCTTATGTTTTATTAAGTAAGAAAACATGCACATAAACTACTGAATAAATTCCTCGATACTCATCAAAAAATCATGTGACTTTGCTTCAGCAGATCATGCGATTAGATAACTGAACTAAACAGCACACCGATCTCATCGCACACAATCTCAAATGTTATTTTCATCATTTTAAAAATGCCTGAGCCAAAGCTGGTCATCAAAGTGATTTGGTATAATCACCTCTTATAACTGTCTCACAGAACAGCATTCCAGAACTAAAATAACCAGACAGCTTTTATTATTGCGAAAGTTGTTTATTTAGTAAGAAAAAAAGAGCCACAGGCTTCCCCGGTTGCAGCAACTTTCATTTTTATTATTGATACTTTCCCCCAGTTTCCCTGGAAGTGATGATTTTATTCTCTTGAGCATGGGATGGAAAGCGCTTTATTCGCAAATGTAATATTCTAATTTTGCGCATAAGTTAAATTGGCAACTTTTGGATGGAACCATAGCTATTGAGATCTTCAAGTTGATTTCAGACTTAAGTATCCTGGCAAATGCAAGCATGATTTGAGACATTGTTAATATTCCTCTTTAGACTTTAAAGGAAACGTGAAATTACTGAGGGGATTCTCAAGAGAAACATCTGAAAAGCAGAAGACATTAGCAAAAGTCTCCATTTGTTCCTCATTTAATCATATTGCTCTATTTAGGAGAAAGAAGTGATGTTATTTGTGATTGGTCTTTCCTTTGGGTCTATTGCTCATCACCAAAAAACATGCACTCACTTGTAGTATGTTGCTTTATAGTAACTTAAAACTAATGGAACTCAGAGTTTTTGTACAATGTACTGAGAATAATGCGAACATGAACCTGTCTGAAGAAGTTCAATCATCAATGGGCTCATTTATATGCTTAAACTTGCATGTGCACACAAACACTGATCTACACTGTAAAAAATGACTGTGAATTTAACGGTAAAAGACTGTAAAAATACTACAGTAAAAACCTGTTAAATGGTTAACGGTAAATTCCCCTACTATATACGGTAAAAAACTGTATTGGACATTACATGTATTGGACATAAATTTTACGGTAGTATACCGTTTTTGGAAGTGGAAAAAGACCGTATAATTTACAGTAAATAACCGTAAATTGACATTCCCAGAATTCCCTGCGTTACATTTCAAATTTGATGTTTTTTTGTTGTTGAAATAACTGTTTCTTAGTTTTGTCTTATCAGTTTTGTATATTAGGGTTGTGTGTTACACCTAATGTTGTTAAATGAATGTGTATTGCATTATTTCAGTTTCATGTGTGTTACCATGATGGTGTTTAGTGTTTGTGTGAATGACACTGTGCACCTTCTATATATGTTATTATTTAAAAGCTGCTTGTGATGGGCTTTGGTTCATCATGTGACTTTCTCATCACCACCTGCATTTGGTGGTTATCAGTGTATAACAACGGTACAAAACAGATTTCAGTACTTCAATAGGTTGGTATATTAACATTATATCAGTTAATGAAATTACGTTATTTAACTGTAAATTTAAGTAAAAACTATAAAACCTAAAACTTTGCTACCATATTTTTTACGGTAAAAATTCTGGCAACCACAGCTGCCGTTTTTTTACCGTACATTTTACGGAATTTTTTTTACAGTGTAGACGTCTCTTGCTGCAGCCACAGATGAAAGTGTTTCCCATCTCCTCTCAAATTAAGTAATCTGAAACAGGATAGTGAATATGGCTCTGACAAAGTGCCTGAATGAGACTGTGTGCTGTGGAGAACCCGGTGAAAACCGCAGAATAAGGCTTGTGGTTCTGCATGCCTTCACCTGCTCTCACAAAGATAAGGGCGAGCGGTGATCAAAGGATCGGGGGTGCTATAATCTTCCGGGGTATACCACAAACAGATGTTGCACACCTGGGGCATGTTTAAATAAAGCAGTTAATGTCACTATCACAGTGATCACAAGCTAAAACATAGGGTGAAACTAGCACCTTGAAGTAAAGAACAGTTTTTATAGATAGGCGAACATATTCACTGCACAAAGCAAAGGATATTCTGAAAACATAATAAAGTGCCATCAAGTTTTGCAAGCCGATCATTGTGACATATTTGGCAATAGTTACCCTCATAACTTTATCATTACTTAGCCTTAAGTCATTCTAACCCTGTAATATTTTCTCTTTTTTGTCTGTCAAATCAAACAGGGATCTGGACCTGGACACCTCCACAGTCTCATTGTGAGATCTTCTTTTGCTCTGACTGACAATTCTGAGTGTTATTCTGTTACTGTTTGCCTTGCCCGTATTTGACCCTGAACTGTTATGACACTTTGCTGCCTGCTTGGATATTTCTTTTATTTAGTGATGGTGAAATGAAGCTTTGTGAAGCACAGAGGCTTTCCCTTCAACTGTATCGTAAAATGGTTCATTACTCAATGCTTTTCAACATGGAAAAAGGCGCCTTTGCGTCCCAGACGTCCAAGCCATTTTTGGACTGTTTCAAATAATAACTCAATTTGTGCTATGAAAACCATATAAAGCAATAAAAAATAAAAATGTCATTGTACTTATACAAAGTATGAATAAATAAGTCTGAATAAATTAATGAAAAAATAAGCATGGTTCATGTAAGCATATGTTTAAAAATAAATTAATATTATTGTGGAATGGTCAGTTGAAGTGGGGATTAATACAAACTGAACATGCACAAAACTACACATGTAAATATTTATTCGTATTATGATTTATTCTTATCAAAGAAGTGAATGACAATTGAAACCTGCACAAGGGGTTCACGTTATTTGAATCAGAACACAAAGCTGCTTGCCCTGACCCTGTGCCTAATTTTTGACCAGACTGCATACAGACTGAATAGGAGAGGTTCAAGAACCGAACCTTGAGGGACACCACGTCATTGAGGTCCATTTAACGTTGTCTATGTTTGCACAGTAACCCCTGTCTTCAAGATATGACCTAAAGAGACAAATCCAGTTTTCCAGTTTGTCTAAGAGTGTATTGTGATCGAGAGTGCAGCACTAAAAATCAGTAAGATCAGCAATGATATTTTACCTGACTCAATATTTAGTTGAATAGAAGCATGGTCTGTGTGCTGTAATGTGATGGGACACCAGATTGGCAATTGTCAACCTTCTCAATGATGTTGCCTGTAAAAGTTGCAGTAGAAGCAGGGTGCACCAGAACAACTGAATCATTAATTAATTAGTCATGAGTATTAATTAAGGAGTTATTTGTAACAGATCAATTCAAAAAAACTGTTT